TGGGCGGCTGCACCAGGGGCGGCTGCACAAGGGGCAGCAGCTGCAGAGGGGTGGCTGCACCAGGGGCGGCAGCTGCAGATGGGCGGCTACACCAAGGGTGGCAGCTGCAGATGGGCGACTGCTGCAGGGGCGGCTGCTTCAGGTGGCGGCAGCTGCAGAGGGGCGGCTGCACCAGGGGTGGCAGCTGCAGATGGGCAGCTGCAGAGGGGCGGTTGCTGCAGATGGGCGGCTGTACAGGGGCGGCAGCTGCAGATGGGCGGCTGCTGCAGGGGCGGCTGCTGCAGGTGGCGGCAGCTGCAGAGGGGCGGCTGCACCAGGGGCGGCAGCTGCAGATGGGCGGCTGCACCAGAGGCGGCTGCACCAGGGGCGGCAGCTGCAGATGGGCGGCTGCACCAGGGGCGGCTGCACAAGGGGCGGCAGCTGCAGAGGGGCGGCTGCACCAGGGGCGGCAGCTGCAGATGGGCGGCTGTCACGGCAGTGGCGGTAGCGGCTGCCACAAGAGGAGCAGCAGCGGCTGGCACAGCTGCAGTGGCGGCGGTCGTCACGGCAGGAGCGGCGGCGGCCGTGGTGCGAGCGGCAATGGTCGCAGGTGCGGCGGCAGGTGCTGCTGAGGCGGCGGCGACAGGGCGGCAGGGCAGCAGCAGCAGCCCGTGACGAGCCGCGGAGGAGGCCGCTAAGGGGCCGCGAGCGGGCGGCAGGGGGCCGCGTAGAAGCCGCGGGCCAGCGCGCGGCGCTACAGCAGCGACGCGCGCAGAAAACGAGGCGCGCGCGTTGAAAACAGCAACGCGCGCGCTGAAAAATGGTGACGCGCGCGCGAGCAAGGGAGCCGCGCGCGAAATAAAAAGGTGCCGCGCGCTGCTCCCAAGGCGCGCGCGGGCAGTAGGAGGGATAGGAAGGTAGGTGGGCCCGTTTCTTAGGTCCTAGAGTCGTCCTGCTCTAGTTACCATGTTAGAATACTAGTAGGCTAGGAATGTCGAGAGGATTGTGTGTGACTAGGAAAAATCGAGGAGTACAAAAAACAACCCTAAACCCCTTATACTGAACCCCACTACAGCCTAGATAGAGATATAACATAAACATTTGACAATATAATTACCCACTGTTCGTGTGCCCTTATGTCCAGGGAGGCACTCGCTGCTAGTGATGCTGCTGAAGAGGTACCTGAGCTGCTAATGATTGACGACGTCGTGCGCGCCTTCGCTGACCACATCGGCCGCAGCAGCGTTGACTACCAGAAGTTTCAAGAGATGCAGCTGATCTTCTGTCACACGAATCTAGAGGCGCAGGGGATTAGCGATACCCGCTGGCTCGCCCGTGGTGAAGCGATCCAGCGCCTGCTCGACGTGCTCCCTGCGGCCATAGTGGTGCTGAAGGATTACAAGGCGGACCTGTACGAGGTGGTTACCTCGTTCAAGTTCCACTGGCTCATCCGCTTTCTTGCGGATGTGCTGTGGGAACTAAACTGCCTCAACCAGCGTTTCCAGCAGCGGCAAGTAAGCGCCTTTCTCGCTGCCATTTATGTTGTTGGAAGCCTTTTCGTGCACCACCTAACTCCTTGTCATGCCCTTGTGCAGGTGGACGTTACCCTTGTCTCAGAATCCCAACCACTAGACCATTGGGATAAAAGGGCTTGTTTCAGTAGCGGGTCAGTGCGCCCATAACCCCCCAGGCAAATGTGCCTGTAACCCTTCCCTAGGATCGATCGGGGATCACCAGTGGACCTCTGACACCCCCCCGCACTGGGATGCCCGAAGTGCATACACCGGGATTCGAACCCGAGACCTTTGCTCTGATACCATCTCAGAATCCCAACCACTAGACCATTGGGATAAAAGGGCTTGTTTCAGTAGCGGGTCAGTGCGCCCACCCCCACTCCCTCACTTTCACACTTGACTCCGGAGCTTCTCGCTCCTTCTTTCGAGACCGCACTACCCTTACGCCGCTCGGCCGGCCGGTTGCGGTCTCCCTTGCTGACCCCTCTGGGGGTCCTGTCCTGTCTCACTTCTCCACTGTCCTCCCGTGTCCGGCTGCCCCTTCGGGCACCCTGTCGGGTCTGTACCTTCCCTCGTTCTCTACGAACTTGGTGAGTGGAGCGGACCTGCAGGATGTGGGGGTTCACCAGTTCACTCCTGCGAGTCAGCGGGTGACCCACTGCACGGAGGCACGCACAGGCCGACACCTGGCCACGTTCTCGCGTCGGCCGGGGTCGAGTCTCTACACCCTGACCGTTGAGTCTCCTCCTGTCCCTGCGTCTGGTCAGGTGGCTGCGTCGGGTCAGGTGCTTGCTGCTGCGTCCCGGTCAGGTCCTGAGTCTGCCCCCTGTTCTTGTCGCCTCCTGTCTCACGAGACTCTCCTGTGGCACCACCGTCTTGGCCACCCCTCCTTGCCCCGTCTTCGGAGCATGGCTTCCCGTGTCCTTGTCTCTGGTTTTCCCCAGTCTCTCCCTCCTCTCCCTTCCGGGCCAGGACCTTCCTGTGTCCCCTGTGTCGAGGGTCGCCTCCGGGCTACTCCTCACTCCTCCCACTTCCCCCCGACAGAGGCTCCCCTGCAGACGCTTCACATGGATGTGTGGGGCCCAGCCCCCGTCCGTGGGCAGGGTTACGAGCGCTACTTCCTGTTGGTGGTTGACGACTACTCGCGTTACACCACAGTCCTCCCCTTGCGCAGCAAGGGTGCGGTCACTGAGGTGCTGATCGACTGGATCCGCGAGGCTCGTCTCCAGCTCAGGAAGAGCTTCGGCTCGGACTTTCCTGTTCTGCGTCTGCACTCGGACAGAGGCGGAGAGTTCTCTTCTCGCCTTCTGCGGGACTACTGTCGTGCACGGGGGATCCGCCAGACCTTCACGCTTCCGGACTCACCACAGCAAAATGGGATTGCTGAGCGCCGCATTGGCATGGTCATGGATGTCGCTCGTACGTCCATGATGCATGCGGCTGCCCCCCATTTTCTGTGGCCGTTTGCGGTGAGGTACGCGGCGCATCAGCTCAACCTTCACCCCCGGGTCTCTCGGCCTGCGATGTCCCCAGCCTTGCTGTGGACGGGGAAGGTTGGCGATGCGTCTGTGTTCCGTGTCTGGGGATCTCGGGCGTTTGTCCGCGACTTGTCTGCGGACAAGCTGTCCCCTCGTGCTGCTCCCTGTGTCTTCCTTGGCTTCCCCACTGACGCCCCAGGGTGGCAGTTTTACCACCCCTCCTCTCGTCGTGTTCTGTCCTCCCAGGACGTCACGTTCGACGAGTCAGTCCCCTTCTACCGTCTCTTCCCCTTCCCTAGGATCGATCGGGGATCACCAGTGGACCTCTGACACCTTGTTGCGCACATCGTCCAGCAGACAAGGATGCGTCTGAAGACGCGGTATTCCCTCCGCGACCCTTCACACCATTTCGGCAGCGGGGAGAAATGCACCTTCCCGAGTTCATTCACAAGCACCAGGCGAAGGATAAGCGCGAGATGAAGGCGGAGGGCGTAGACGGGGACGGGAATCCCGTGACTTTTGAATTAACGCTGCACGAGCGCCCTCTGTCAGGACATGAAACGGATGGCGATGTCCAGGCGTGCGTCGAGCTGTCGATCAAGTACGTCCGCGCCATTGACAAAGAACTGGAGTGGCGGATGTGCGACCTGCAGCTACTGGAAGGTACGAAGCTGTTTCGCACAGCTTCGTACGTGCCCGACGAAACGAAGCGCGTGGAAACGTTCAAAAAGTGGCTCGGCCAGCTGCACAAGTTGTATCACAACAAGTTGCCAGGTGAGCCTTTTCCTTGTCAAGAGCAAATCTTCATACGTGGCTTGCTTGTCCGAGCGCCTAATAAGCCTTTCCGATGCTTGTTGGACTAATGCCCCGCATTCCTACGCGTGTGTGCGAGCATCAGCCAAGCTTTCACCCCAACCCCGCCCCTCCTCAGGGTTTGACTACAAGAGAGCCCTGCAAGAGCTGTGGATGTTTACATCCACAATGTTCTCCCAACACAACAACGAGGAGTTCCATCAGGCGCTGACGAACATGCTGCGGAATGATGCGTGGCGCGTCTCCTTCCCCAACATCATGCGGATGTGGCAGTCAGTCGCCGTGCTGCCATTGAGCACGGTTGAATGCGAGCGCGGCTTCTCCAAGCAGAATCTGATCAAGACTTGGGGCCGCGGCAGCCTTGGCGACACAAGCCTGGAGCATCTGATGTGTTGCTCCCTGCTGCGGTAGCGGTACGAGGTCGACTGGTTTGAGGTGGTCGCCATCTTTCGTGGAGAGAAGCTGGGGCGATCCACCAAGGAATTTGACCCCACCAGGGCTTCACAGACCCAGTTTGTAGAAGATGTAGGCAGTGGGGGTGCCACTGAGTAGGTGTGTTGTGCATGCATGTGTTGCGTGCGTGGATTTCAAGGACTGTATATGTGCAACTTGAATATGTCACCAAACGTAAGAAAACTCTCAAAGTAGACACAAAAACAGGATTAGCCTAAAACTACCCTGCTCGAATCAGGCTAGTGGCAGAGTTACCCTGCTGAAACAGGGTATGAGATTTTTTACCCTAGGGGTCTGCCTAAGGAGGGGCTGGTTCCCTGATTCGTAAGGGTAGGCATAAACCAATTTTGGGCCCTGGTGGCAGTCCTGTCCCAGAAAGCTATTTTGATGTCCTCTCCTCCGAGTTCCCCAAGCTGCACCCCCGGCCCGACATCTGTACCAGCACTGTCACCAAGCTGCACCCCCTGACCGGACATCCGTAGCAGCAGTGTCACACCAGGCGGCCTCAAGGACCTCCCTGCTATCCAAACGCTCTTCTACTCAGGGGCTCTCCTTCCGATTGAGCTGCAGCTCTCAGCATAGTAATGGTGCTGGAGGGCTCTGCATGGAACAGACAAGGCAAGAATGCATGATTAAAGAGCACAGGCCAGGAAGAGAAAGAGGGGGAAGGAGGAGGGTGCGGGAGCCCTGGGCGCACTGGCATGCCACCACTCTACAGGCGAGAGGGAGATCTACTGGGGAGGCTTACGGGTGAGAAGGCAGGCTACTGGGGCTGGCATTGGCCGTAGACGGCACGGTATCCCTGGTCGCACTGGCATGCCACCTCCAGCCTGTCGTTTGTGTTGATGCACGTGGAGTGTTCAGGGCACTTGACACGGCCGCAGATGTTGTCTGGATGACATCGGAGAGAAGCACACGTGGAGAGGCGTGGGGGAAGGAATGAGGTGCAACGCATGGGGAATAGAGGAGAGATGCATAAGGGGAGAGTCATGGGGGCAGCAATGAGGCGAGACGCATGGGGTGAGAGGCATGGGAAAAGCGGCATGAATCGCAGCGGAAAGCGCACACATGGCAGCGAAAGGGCACAGATGGCTACAGTGACTGCTGCTCTTTCATAATCAGGACTGCAGCAGGATGCATGGCAGCAGCACGCACGGCAGCAGCACACATGGCAGCAGCACACATGGCAGCAGCACGCACGGCAGCAGCACGCACGGCAGCAGCACGCACGGCAGCAGCACGCACAGCAGCAGAATCCGAAGCAGGAGCGTGGCACGCATGGTGTTTGTTGGCAAGCGCAGTAGAAAGCACAACGCATGGCAGCAGCATCGGCATGTATGCATGCATGGTGATAGATGACCATAGCAGGAGAAAGGTGAATGCATGCAGAAATTCCAATGTCCAGGGTTTACGGCAATGCATGGCATGGCAGCAGCAGGGCACTCACCAAGCACGCAGCGGATGGACTTCACTGATGGATTTACCTTGGTGACACTGCTCACACACGCACAGGGGGAGGGGCGTGGGGAGGGGCGCATGGGGGCATAAGGGGAACTGGAGCACGAAGCGGGTTGTGGCATGCGGGAAATCGGGGCGTGCAAGCAAGGGAGCGAGCTGTGCTGCGTGCAAGCCAGTAAAACAAAGGCGTGAATCCTGACAACTCACCTCATGTAACCCGTGAGCAGCAGTGACTGGTGGTGCCCCCAAGCAGTTGGGCGACGCGAACAGCTGCACCTCGTAGGAGAGGGAGGGAGGGAGCCTAGTTACATCCATCCCAGTAACAAACGCGCGATTGCTCACCTCATGTACAAATTGTAAAGGTGTTCCTCCGCCGCAGTACCCGAGCAATCGGGCGACTCGAACAGCTGCACCGCGTTGCACACAGGGCGATTCGAAAACACGTCCCACCACACCAGCGCGTCTACCGCGCTCCCATTCGTCGTTCCCCCGACTTCGGGCACGGACATGCAGCGCGCAGAGTCGAAGGAGACGGAGCTGGGCTGCGCGAGAGAGCCGAGGAGCACCACCGAGCCCACGCGCACCTCCGCGGGAACCGTCTCGTTCGCCGCGGTCTCGCTCGCCGCGCTTGGACCACGGGTAGTCGTCTCTCTCACGCCCCTATCGGTCATCTCACCCGCGCCCGTAGAAGCACCAGCGGAGTCGCTTCCACGCCGCTCCGCATAGACCGGCACCCCCGTCGCGCTCCGGCCCCTACCGCCGGTGAGGCGCCTCGCTCGCACCCCTCGTGATACCAGCGGAGTCGATGCCGCCGCCAGCAGTCGCCCCTTTGACGGCAGGTGCTCCCAGCGACACTCCCACCTCACTCGCTGCGAGGAGGTCAGACAGAGGGGAAGGAGGAATGCCAAGGAAGGCAGGACGTCACGCGAGGAAGGGCAGAAAGAAGGACATTTTTAACTCATTCGCTGCGAGGACGCTCGACGGGGAAGGGGGGCGCACGAATGTGACGATTTGTCGAATGTGCTGGGAGCTGGAATCTACTTGAGCATTCTGGAAGCTTCTCACGAGCATGCACTTTTCACGGATATCGCGAGGGAGAGGGGAAGCGGCGAGGGAGGGGAGGAGCGTACCAATGAGGATGGCGACAACGAGCAGCGCGGCAGCGGCCTTGAAACATCCCATGCTGCTGCTACTGCTGGTGGTGGTGCTCGTGGTGTTGACGAGAGAGGCTCGGCAAGTAGCGACGAGAGGTGGTAGTAGCCTGGGGCGATCTGGAATGGGACGAGAATCCGTCCGTCAGAAGCGACGGATTGTCGCGACCCTAAGGCAGCGACGGCGGTGAGTTTTGAGTTTTGAGCGATAGCGGTGAGTTTCGAGTGATAGCTTAAACAGCAATACTGCGCGTCGGAGCCACACAAATGCTATAGTCAACGAGGTGAGTGCGTGTTCCCAGTGAAGCCCGCTACTACATATATATGCTTTTAAGGGCCTCGCTGACTACCAGCACTAAGGCGCGCTCTAGCAGCGAGGTGAAGCGCCTTAGAGCGCGCGTATTCTGTACGGGACGTTTTCGATACTCCCCGTGTGTCCAGCGGTTGCGATGGCAATGCAGCTCGCGACTCGAATTCTCGCCCGCCAACAGCGCGGTAAGAACTGTTTCCGGCTGATCGCACACCCATAATGAGGGGCTTTTGAGAGTAATACCGAGCCCATAATCTCTGCGACGCGACGAAACCTAAGCTGCGAACGCGACTCCCATAATCGTCTACGCACATCGCGTTCCGATGGGCTGTGTGCATTGCGGGAAACCCGTGGACCGGCAACCACGGCTGTGTTGGTCCGACATTATTGTGTGCGCCCTGAGGTGCCGTGCCATGCCTTGTGGGGCGGGGCACAGTCGTTATGCTGGTGCTACCCCATCCCCTTGTTTCTTCATCCTCGAACAGTTCTTGCTAGTTTTAGAGGAGCTCACGAAGCGGACAAGAATGGCAGAAACTAATTGATACTTTGGTGTATTTGCAAATCATTAATGAAAAAAAAACTAAATGAGTTTTGGGGGTCACTCTGATGGTCCAGTTTATTTTTTTCCCATTAAATTCCTCTCTATTGTCAAAGTTTCATCTTGAACAAACAAGCATGCCCTAACCTTGTGCACTTTGGGCCTCAAGCTTTAACATGATGCAATGCCATGGTAAGTACCCAACATGCAACTACAACAGAAAGGGTTGTTAAAGAATATGGAGGCATTTCAGATTTCATGAGGCGTTTGGAAAACGTAAAAACGTTGCACGAAGCATCCTTATCAACATCTTCTTCTCATACGGTAGTTCACACAATCAAACAACTCAACCAATCACAACAGACGGGCACTCTAAGAGTAAGTTGGCAGTCCTGTCCTGCGTTATTTTTATGGCCACCCAAGGAATCACCAACCCTTCTCCTCCATTCTCCCCAAGCTGCACCACTGGACAACTATAGCAGCACTACCACTCCATGCGCTCTCTAGGAGCTCTGCTATAGAGACGCTCTGCTGCCATTCAGGGGCTCTTCTTTATTGATCGAGGGGTTGTGCTGTGACTCTCAGCATAACAATGCCGCTGGTCTGAAGGAATCTGCGTGATTTTAAGGCGAAGGATGGAAGCAGGGGAAGGGAAGAGTCGAGGGGTTGTGCAACAGACAGGCACGCCATCCTACTCGTTCATGTCAGAAATGAAACAGCAGGGACAGTTGACTAACAGCAATGGCAAGTACAACTATTATCCCTTATCGGTTGTACCCAGTATGGGCTACCCCACTACAGTTTAGACAACAATCATATATAGTTTGACAGCCCAAACCCACCCACTGTTAGCAGGCCTACTTGTTCAACTAAGATGAGAGGAATGAGTGGACTAGGTCAAACGGGTTGGGTACAAGATAGTGTCGAGGGAATTGATGTACCCCCTAACATGCAAATCACTATAGGCTAGATGAGTAAAGTGAATATAACTTTGAAACACCCCCATAGCCTAAGTGAGGTGCATGGAAAACAATCAAGGCAAGCGAATGGTCACAAGACCAGTCAAGAGAAGCAAACAATGCAAATCCCAGGGTGGATCTCAAGATCACCACTCATTCTGAGCACAAGCAAGCGGCCACAAGGCCAGTTCACATGCAAAGTTATAATAGCAAGGCAATAGACTGATCACATTCTAGCAAGAGTAAACAGGCAAGTATAAATATAGATATCAGTGTACAACAAATAGGAAGATCAAGAGACAAGCAGGTGAGGCAAGACGAGCAAAAGCACAAGAGCAGCGCAAAAACACTGATGATCACCAGACCCGAGGGCCTTGGTGAAGACATCAGCAGTGTTGGCCCGAGAGGCCACGTAGGAAAGGCGAAGCTGACCACACTGCTGCAGCTCTCGAGCAAGAAAGTAGCAAAGTAGCAAGAAACTAGCAAAAAAAGTAGCTCTCGAGCAAGAAAGAATGTGCTTGGTTTAATGCACCGGTCTCTGCTCGTGACGAAAGGCCAACATGGCCTTGTTGTCGACGTACAGAACTGGAGGAGAAGGAGGCCGCTCCCTCAAGTCTGTCAGCAGGTAGGTCAACCAGCGTAGCTCCTGTGCAGCCATAGCCCAAGCGTAGATCTCGGCCTCATAGCTGGAACCAAGCACAGAAGAAGAACGAGCGGACCTCCATGAGACAGAGCCAGAGCCAAGACTAAAGGTGTAACCCTGTGACAAACGCTGAGTCGCCTAGTCGTCGGCCCAAGAAGCGTCGGAGTGTCCTCTGAGTACCACTGAACCCTGTCCTCCAAGCACAAGCCCCATGCTCGATGTACTGCACAAGTATCGCAGTACCCTCTTCGCAACATCCCAATGCACCTTTCGGTGTCTACCGGGAGCCACGTAGCAGGCCAGGAGGCTCAGAGGGTACGCGAGGTCAGGTCGTGTGCACGTCATCAGGTACATGAAGCAACCCACAAGCTCTGGATACGGACCACTCGGCTCTACGGACTCGTTCGAAGGTGGAGCTAGGAGTGAGTGGCCAGTAGGCAGAGGAGTGGGCTATGGCGAGGAGTACTGGAAGCCGAAGCGTTGAAGGATCTGGTGCACCATGTGTGACTGAGTAAGGGTGATGGGGCGCGGTGCTCTGTCCCGGGTGATCTGCAAGCCAAGATAGCTTCGCAACTCACCCAGGTCAGTGCAGGTTTGTCTCTCATACAGCTCCGCCTTTACTAGGGCCAGCGCTTCAGTATCAGCAGTAGCGAAAATCAAGTCGTCAACGTACATAGAAAACGTAGAACGGCATAATAGTGTCGGTGCATAGAAACAGCAACGGGTCAGCAGAGGAAGGAGAAAACCCAAGAGCCGCAAGTGTTGTCCTCGGTGTGTCGTGCCACTCATGGGGCCCTAGCGGAGACCGAAGACTGGCCGCCGCAGACTCCACTGGGTACCCGCAGGAAACGACCCAATGAAGCCAGGTGGGCGGTGCAGCCAGATCTCCTCGTGAAGGCTGCACTGCAAGAAAGCTGTAGAGAAGTCGAGGGAGTGCAGCTTGTAGTCACGCTTTGCTGCAACGTGCATTAACACCCGAAGAGTAGTGATCTTCAGGGTGGGGGAGAAGGTCTGAAAGTAGTCGACCCCCTCACAGTCACTGAAGCCTCGAGCAATGTAACGTGCCTTGAAGGCAGGCTGAGAACCCGGCGGCCGCTTTAGGAGGAGTAACCTCGTCGACGTAGGTGCCTGTGGACTTCTAGGAAGCCTTCTCTGCGTCCATGGCTGTCTGCCACTGAGAGGAGTACTCACCCGCAATCGCCTCAGCGTAAGAGGGCGGGGTAGGGATGCCAAGTGCATCCATGTCTCCCTCAGGGCAAAGCAGCATGGATGCGAAACGAGGTAAAGTGGCCACGAGACACTCAAGCTCAAATTGCCTGTCCCCAAGGCGTCACTGCCAAAGGCAGGCTCAACCCCTACGGACGGAGGACAGACAGACTCAGACTCAGTACCAAGACTCGCGACTTAGTCGAGACGACTCCTAGTAGCAAAGTCGACGAGCTCAGTGACTACGACAAGCGCAGCAGTAGCCTCAAAGTCAGGGTCAGTGACTATAGTAGTGAGGAGACGAGTAACAGTAGGACTGGCAGCACGAGTAAGGTCGGACTCTGGTTCTGGAAAGTCAGGAAGGGAGGATGCTGGAGGAGACGGTAGGGCAACACGCTGTGGAACAGAGGAAGGACGAAGTGCCATAACATGAGTGCCTGGGACAGTAGGTAGACAAGGACGAGCGACACGACGAGCACGAACAGGTGTGGAAGCACGAGTCTCAGGCTCATGACGCTCAGTCTGGGACTCAGTCACCTCATTGTGAGGAGCAAGAGCGGGCAGCGGGGAGCCAGGCAGTAGCTATGGCTGAGACTAGTCTGTCGGTGGACACAGGAGAGGTGGAGTGAGGCCAGTGGAAGACGGGAGACTAAGAACATGGCAAAGGGCCGAGTCAGGTGGTGGCAGGGAGGACTGCGCGGATAGAAAAACGGTCGGCGCGGGGTAGTACCCGTACCGTCAGTAGCTCCAACACCTCAAGTACCACCAGCACCAGCACCTCCAGTAGCACCTCCAACACCTCCAGCACCAACAGCACTAGCAGCTTCGGCAGCTCCAGCACCTCTAGTACGAGAACTTCCAGGACCAGCAGCTCTAGCACCTCCAGTACCTCCAGTACCACCAGCTCCAGCATCTCCAGTACCTCCAGTACCACCAGCACCAGCAGCAGCGCCAGCTCCTGTAGCTCTAGCACGTCTAGTACGAGCACTTCCAAGACCAGCACCTCTAGCACCTCCAGTACCACCAGCTCCAGTACCTCCAGCACCAGCAGCACCACCAACTCCGGCAGCTCCAGCACCTCTAGTACGAGCACCTCCAAGATCAGCAGCTCCAGCACCTCCGGGACCTCCAGGACCAGCAACTCCAGCACCTCCATTACCTCCAGTACCACCAGCTCCAGCACCAGCAGCTCCAGTAGTACCCCCAGCACCAGTAGCTCCAGCGCCGAGGTAACTCCAAGCTCCTTTTAAAGTAGTAACGTGAGAATGAATTGACGAAGGAAAATGAGAAACAAGCAAGATATAGGAAGCGTAACCGTAACCCTAGGAAACATGAAGTACACCTTGACTAACACAGATAAGCTATCACAAATTTA